GACTTCACTTACTGCCTGCATCCCTCGCCCTGGCCTCCCCCTGTAAGCCTACCGGGGTGACACGGCAGCAGATTTCACCTACAGCTTCTCTCAAGGCTCACTCAGCTCCAGGAGCCATTGCCCAGGTTGCAGGAGGACCTGATCTGGGCAGAGCAGCGCACCCAGCAGAGCCCCATCTCTTCACCAGCAGACGAGACTGAAGGCCTTCCGCTTGGGAATTGCAGTTCTTGGCCATCAAGCCTCTGTTTCGTGCCACAGCACATGGTATCTCCCGTCTCCAGATGAGATAACTAAAATGTAAATCCTCACTCTCCCAATCCGCAGGAAACTGATGTAGGCAAAAGGGATGTGATGATCCATTCACTTCGTATCTCAGAGCCCAACACACTTTCCCCAAGAGCAGCACAAGAACGCACCTTGCCACCCACCTAAATATTTGATAAAAGTTAAATACAACCACTTGTGATTGATGCTTCTCCTCACATAAGCGCTCCAGCCAAAATCTGGATAACGCGTGGTGTTATTAAAGCATCAATTATCTTTAGCGCAAGCGGAGCTACATTAGCAGGACTGCAGTCTGCTCATTTTGATAAGGTTCGCTCTGTTCATTTATCAACAAAATGCGGATACCAGCAGGCCACGGAGTCTGCAGGTTTTAACGCTGTTAGGATGGAGCTGACATTCACATCCTCCGTGCGTGCAGATCAGCCAGAGCATCCTGGCTCTTGGGGCTTACTTCTCAGGAAGGCTGGCACTACGGCCCACGAGGAGCTAGTGGCCACGGCTGGCAGATACCCACCAGCTGTAGGACGCAGGGCGAGTTCCCCGGGTCCCGGCGGCGTGCTCCTGCCTGACAGAGTGCCTCAGGTACCCCAGCAAAGCGGCCGGAGAGCTGAGGCTTGCTGCTGAGCGGGTGATGTTCCCAAACAGCTCAAGTTTTGCTCCTCTCATGTGCATGCAGGATGGCGGCTTAGAAAATCACAGGAGACCAAGACAGTTCTCTCTGAAGCTGGCTGTACGCTAACCCAGCTGCAGGTGCCTTCCACCAGCTCGGAAGAGAAGTTTCCCTCTCTTTTTCTCTCTTTTGGCTCTACCCACATGCTCCAGTTCTCTCTTTTCAGAGATGCAAGCATGGCCCAGGGACAGGGCTAAGAAACTGCAGAAAAGCAATTCTTTTTATTAACAGACCTAAAATTTCCTTCATAAACTACACGAAGATAAACTCTTGGCTTATTAACAGCAGTAAATCTCCAAGTCCAACAGACTTCAGTTAATGAATATTGATTATGATAGTGCTGGAGAAGGCTGCTGTCAGTCAAACGGAGATCCTGTAGCCCTCTTCGCCCGAGCAGGGCTGTAAATTACCCGAAGGCTCAGTTGTTTTTTAAAACTAGGTAGTGGAAAACACAGGGGTTATGGCTGCACTGCAGCTTTCACTGTCTCAGGGCTGGGAAACCACCTTAATGCTAACAGCAGCGGGCCAGCGGGGCTAGGCATTTCTTACTGGGCTTTTTAAGCACTTGGGAGTCTGTGGATCTGGCCCCTTTGGAGCCACAACAGGATTTATCAACTCGGTGTCCAGCTCCTGCACGCTGAGAGGAGCTTACGCACCCACAATTCAGAGGAGCGGAGGCGGACTCCCGGGCGGCTGAGAGGACAGGCAGGGGATGCCGGTTAGGCAGTTCCTAACGTCCACTTGAGATAGCTGAATGTACGCTGTGAAAAGTGAGTTATTTTTGCACACGGAAGCCTAATTTCTTGGAGAACCACTGCCAGCCTGCAACCAGGTGTACCTGTGTCCCACCGTGCTGGAAGAGGACGGGCACTGACTGCCCCAGGGCAGAGATCCCTCTACCTCACTGACTGCCCCAGGCCTCCGGCTGCCATTTGCACTCTTCCATCTACTTAGGGATGCAAAGCACGCTTCCCTCTATCCCCCAATGAGCATCTTAACATTCGAAGCTGATTAACACAAACACCATGGTCACTTGGACCTTTGACTCACAAGGCAAATCTCATCAAGCTCTCTCTTTTACCTTCAGGCTAGGATGACTTTGAACAGCCTTTAAATGAATGAAAGCTGAGGAAAATAAACCAAGGGCAGCCCGCAGACCTCATCACCCTCCTCTGGTGGGGGAACGAGGCAGTGATGGGTGGGGAGGGCGGGGGACTACGTCCATGTTTTCATAAAACTATCTTTTATGCTCACTGAAATAACCCAACAACAACAAACCCCCCCAGAACAGCCCTCTCCCTCCTCCCCGCATCTGATAAAAATCAAATAATAACAGGAGTGACTTATGCACCCTCTGCCTGGTACTTCAGTCTGGCCTTCCAGTTAATAGACACTATGATTAAAGCATCTATAATCTGCAGTCTGGGGAGACCTGTAGAGCAGCAGCGGCAGCGGGTGTGCAGCCTGATAAGGGTTGTTCACTCAGTGCAGATGAAACTTTTAATATTTATAACTGCTGATTTTTTTTCCTGATGCCTCCTATTGAGGGGAGGGGGGTGAAAGTTGAAAGATAAAAGCTTGATGAAAGACCAGGTGGAATGTTTTTCCAAGGACAGGCAGGGGCTTAAAGCTATCTCCACCTAAGAGCTGGTTTAAGAAGGCTGCTTAGGCAAGTGCAGCATCAGAGATGGGGGATGAAGTCTCTGGAAGACCTTCAAGGCTTGTCTAAAGTGCACCCAGGCTTTAAGCCGTAAGCTCCTCTGAGCTGTCTGCATCGGTCTTGTCTGCACCAAGCACAGCGGGGCTGTGTCTGGGACTGCTAGGCATCACCACAAAATAATTAAGTCACACCAGGTCAGCTGCACATACTTTAAGTAAAGTGCTAACAGCATTTCCAGCTCAGCACTGAAATACGCCAAGAGCTGAAAACACACTGTGTCAGCCTAACCTCCGTCTCAACGGCAGCGGGAGCTGCAACGGTCAGCACACAGGGCACCGGGAATGCACTTGAAAAAACAAATTGCATCTTGCTCCTATCAAATCACCGTTAATTGCAGTACAGCACTTAGGATCCCCGGCTGGTGAAACACTGAAGATGCTGGGGCCTTTGCAGTCTTCCTCCTGGGAAAAAGCAAAACCCGCTTCCAGTAGCGTCCCTTTTCCAAGTGTATTGATAATAGTTCAGTCTGTGGTCATCGGGTCCCAGAGACACAAGGCTCTGCCCACGAGGCAGCAGCCGGCCGTATCCGAAGGCAGAAGCTGCCGCTTTCCTCCGCTCCCCCCGGCTCCGGCTGCCCCGCGCGCAGGCTACCCTCGTTCGGTGCCGGGGACGCCGGGCGGCAGAGGGAGGCGCAGAGGCGCGCAGCTCACGCAGCCCGGCAGGCGCCCTGCTGACAGAACGGCTCTGCTTACCCTCCCTCCAGACAGAAGAACCCAACCAACTCCCTCGTTTCCAACACCGCGAGACCTGGACATGCCCCATGCCCAAATGGTTTAACACTTGTGCATTAAAAAAAGAATCTAACACTCCTGGAGTGTCAATATTACAAAAGATATGAATGACATTGCCCATCAGTAATTTCAGACGGCTATAACTGGGCCAACCTGAGGACAACAAAAAGATGCAGAGAAAGGTATTCAATATATATATTCATTCATTTCACCTGAAAGATGATACTTACATACTTCTTTCAAAGGCAGCTACGTGGTCCTCATTACTATAGCATCAGAGCACTTCAAAACGTTTACCCAACACATACAGACAACGTACATATGATATAGGGAAACACGTTTTAGAGCTGAAATACAAGGCTTGGGTGAACCTGAACGGAGGTCTCTCAAGTTGTAAGTTATCATCTCAGCCACTCTGCCTTCCTACCACAGACACCAGAAGCCAAAGAAAAAAGAAAGGCAGGCTGGCCAGGGAGGAGACAGGATTGCTTTTTCACCAGAGAACAACAGAGAGTGAGACGATTTTTTTTTTAATTTTTTTTTTTTTAAGAAAAAAAAATTGAATCATGAAAAACACCCCACCTGAATTCAAAAGCATCTTGGGGGTGGGGGGGGGAAGGAAGAGATAGAGCTCTATACTCTGAGGACATGTCCATTGTTTGCAAAGCATGAAGAAAACATAACACTGTGTCTCCAACAGAGCTGCAGTTTCCCTTGGCTTAAACAGACTTGTCTGCCAGAAATCACATTTCTTGGCCTCCACTTTGACTGTGTTTTTCTCCTCCACAAAACATGATTTCAAAATATGCAAGCAGAGTTAAAGTCTAGTGAGACAACAAGTTGTTGAAAATGATTACGAAAAAGAAGTTCGTGAGTTTATCTGTCCTTAATAAGGGTTGATCTAAAGTCTGCATGACTTTTGGAACTATATGAAAAAACCAAACTAACAAAACCACCCAGTATCACTGGACTAGTTAAAACTTGATTAGCACCTGGATACCCAGTGGCCAGAGCTCCTACAATGCTTGCAGGCTGCAAGCAAAGCTACATTAAGCTGCTTATCATTCTGAAGCAAAAATCAGGGATTAGACATCCCTCTCACTGCACATCAGCTGGCCTCCCGAGCTACAGCAGTCACCAGGATTATGCTCATTTCCAATGCTCATGAGCATTTTGAATCAAGCAACCTTACAGCATGAGATGGATGTACACGAAGGAACATCAGCAACACTTCATAGATGGAATTACTGAGCATCATCTGTGAGTTGGTTTTGACAAACCTGAGCTTTCAATGCCTCAAACGTGAGGCTTAAGACTAGCACATCGAAGCTGAACATCCCTCTGAAGACGTGAGCTCAAAAGTGTATATAAAAATATAATTAGAATATCATCAGGTGTTTACAGCTATGTATTGAAGTCACTTGCTACAAACAGGTTATCAGCTCTAGTATGAAAGTAACACATCTGAAAAATAAGAGTAGTAGTCAGAGACCACGCTTCCCCTCAGTCCCATCAAATGGCAGCCAGATGGTTTGTGGATGCAGTCACTGACCACAGCCAGCACCAGCAGCTTTGGAGAAAAGGGATGGAATCCCAGCAATGAACAAGTCCAGAAAAATTTGCACTGATGGAAAATCCCTCCCAAGTACCAGGCGGCAACGTGCAAGCGTGAGAAACAAGAAGCAACAAAGGAAAGTCCATCCATGGGTAGCGGCAAAGGTCACTGAAGAAGGCTGCACCCTTCTCAAGCAGTCCAGCTCTCATCACATGGAGATACTTCAAAGGCAGAATTGCCGAGCACAACACGTGAGCCTTGTGCGCGTCCCTAAGATCAGTCAGCTGTGCAGGTGTGTTTACAAGAGATCATGTCAATCTAAAGTGAAGTGCTCTGCAAAAATATCATTTTTCTTCCCAAACAAACCTCGTACTTGCTCAAACTCCAGGGGCACATCAACAGCCTTTTTCTTTACTTCTTTATCAAAAAGCTACAAAGAAAAAAATAGAAGACATTGGCAAAACTCAGTACAAGCTCTTCACCCTGGCTGACACCACTGCTCACTCTAACCTCTTAAAAGATCCAGCAATAAACTTTTTATATAAAAGCCATCCCTGTCACCACTGCTGCCTCATGGTCCATCATTTAACAGACATTTTCCCATTCTCCCTGGCTCTGGGTAACCAGAAGCCAGTCTAGCTCCCTCCCCACCAGCAAGGCTGATGAACAGGACACAGCTATTCCGTCCAGGAACCAGTCTCCTTTCCTCTGGTTCCAATCATTCAAAAAGGCAGAGCAACGCTACCTCATAAGCTGAGAGCTCCAGGAGCCCTGATATGTCATCCTCTATTTCAGACAGCGACTGGTTCAGGATAGCAGCTGCCTTGGCCACATCTGGGTGATAATGGTTTTGTAGAGCCTGCAAAGCAAGACAAATAGGAGATGGTCTAATAAGTACAGGGTAACAGACACCCATATGGATTCCCACCCAGGCAGCTGCCCCTTTGTTGGTCAGATCTTCAGTGAACATCAAATTCTGGCAGAGGCAAGTTTGCTGTACTGTGCTACTACAGAGCTTCAAGAAATCCTGATTTCAGCCATCTTTCAAAGACGCCAAAGGCCGCTCTCACCCGGTTCACATCCAGCTCAGGACAGACGGTCTCCTCCACAGGCCATACCTACAATGCATAACCCAATTTTGCTATCTCCCATAGCCCTGAGGCTTCATCCCAGCCCCCACTCTCTGGCCTTCCTGCTCCTGCACAGCATTCTTCTTGCTGCTTCAGCCCCTTACACAAAACCCTTGTAGCATTTAAATGGAAAGCGATAACCCTGGCATTAAGGTTTTCGAACCATCAGGAGTAATTTAACCAATTTCAACCTTCATACACAATCCTACAAACGATCCAGGTGAAAGGTGAACGTTACAATCTCCCCTAGCATTTTTAAACCCATTTCTGCAGGATGACCTAGCTGTATCCAATTAATTTCCATCAGTGCTCAGCAAGTTCCTCTCTCCCCTCTGAAGCAAATAAAAAGCCTCAAACGTTTGCAGCTATTTAGTCTTTCAGCTGTTAACTGCACACTTTTCAGCCGCACAGTCAGATGTGCGCTCACAAGTCACCTAGTAATTAGCATGAATTTCTCCAGTGTGTGGAATCCTTTGCCTCTTATGCTAGGACAAAAAAGGATGCAGAATAAATCATCAGCCAGAAACTCATCTCATTTGCAAGACGTACGTCAGCAGGTTCTTGTAAGTGGGACTGCCCACTGCCAACATGTGTCAAGGAAGCAGCAAGGGTGAAAGAAGCCCACACCAGATGCAGATGTTCCTTTTTAGCTGACATACCTGAATCTCCCAGAGAGAGCTCTCCAAAGCCCTGCTTTCAGACGGGTCCTCCTCCTCCATAATATATGGATCTTCTGACATATCTAAGGAAACAGAGATACTGAGCTAATACCTTCTGCGTGATGTACATGACCCCAAAGGGAACACAGAAACCCAGAGCAGTGCTGCAGCCAGAGTTGCTCCCTCCCAAGACATTGAGGGCCCAGGAACAACCTGACACATCCCAGCACAACCCAAGAGTTGCTGTTTGCAGCACTACAGAATCATATTACTTTCGAAGAGCACAGGAAGTAGGGCACAAAGAACTGGAATAGTCTGATGCAAAGGGCATCTCAGACAACTTGGAGCGGTCGCTACTGATGTCCAACACTGATCAGTTAAACCACAGGGAGATGAAGTAAAAACTCGGGAGACTGCAGAGGCCCCCGTGGGACCACCTACACAAAATCCCTACAGACTGAAATCAAAGAGGTCTCTGGTTTCTGCATCCATTTTCTTCTCATTTCTTGAGGTGACCAAGACAAGCTCCGTGCCTCCCGGCCCTTTAGCATTTGTAAGCAGCCTGGGTCAGTGTGCCAGGCTCAAAGCAGCCTTCTCCCAGGGAATCACAGAGGCAAGGGAGCCAACTGTGAGGCCTAAGGTCAGAGAGGAGCAATGCAGATGGGTCTTCACAGTCAGAGAACTTGCAGGAGCAGCCTGCTGGCTTTCCACAAACTCAAGGGACAGAGGGATCCTTCTAAACCTCAAAGCTGGGGCTGGGATCTCCCCTCCTCCTCCACAGGAATCCTGCTCTTTATGATATCTACAGGCATAACGCAAAACTCCCCTGCCCACCTCCCCTCTTACCTTCTGGCCCATTAGGTCTGTGTACTAGCACTTTGCACGCCGGGTGCCTCCGAAAGAGATTACAGATGAAGGGAATGACCATGAGCAGAGCCTCGGGAGGAGCGGTGAGGGCCAGCCGGGAGAGGCGCTTTATGAACGCTGCCACCAGGTACGCCGGCAAGTGACTGTTGGAAAGGAGAGAGAAGAAACCAGCACGTCAAAGCCCTAGCGAGTGAGCCAGCAGACTCACCAATCCAAACAGCATGTGAGGTTAAAGATGAGTGGGGCTCTTCAGATTTTTTGGGCTACGGAGTAAAGAGAAGCTATAAGAATCCTGGTTTCAAGCAGTAATAGAGGGGCTTGTGCACTCTCTGGAACAAATCTGGGGCCATTCCCATTCAATGCATGAATAATCTCAAATCACTCTGATTCAATCCAGATGCATGGCACCACTCCAGGCACTCGCCGTAGCCAAGCACAGCTCTTGCACACGGTCATTCACATGGCAGTCTTTATTCAGTCATTTTATAAACTTCCGAGTGCTTGGCCAGGCAACCTTAATTATATTCTTCTAATGCCGTTTTGTGGGTTTAATTAATACAGGGCCCATGGTCCTAAATTTACATAATACTTCCAGGACTAAAGCAAGCAGTGCAGCTGTTAATGGGAACATAAAGCTGCTGTAATGTAAATGTGCAGGACAGTTCTTTTTTTATGGTAAAAATGCAAATTTCTAACAGCAATCAGCTAATCTAGGCACTTTCTTCAGGGCGGAAGAGCAGGGATGAAAGATGACAATTTTCAGCCACTCAGCCTTCAGCCCTAGGGCTTGCTACACCTGCAAGGCTCAGCAAAGCCACCCCACAGGACACCATCTGTCAGATCTTGTTACTCTCTCCAAAGCACGCTATGAATACAAGGGGTTTGATATTAAGTGCCTAGTGCTGAACTGTAAAGCGTTACTCTTCGTTTATTTTATAACATATGACGGCAACTATATGACCAGCTGCTTATCTAGTTTCTTCCCTGCATACAATGAATTGATAGCATCAAGACAGACTGTCAAACACTTTATATTTCAATGTTACGTGTCTGCAAAAGGTCATCAACTTATCAACAGCTTTATGATCTATAAAAAGCCCGCAAATGTCACTTTTCCATATTCATAAAGACAGACAGAAAAATCATCACTTTCAGCCAAAGTGGAATACAGATCAAAATGCATCCATAATCACTTGCAGATTAAACTCAGATAACTAACTGCATTTTTACTTTCTGAAGCTAGATGGCTGTGTGGCAAATCTTCAAAAATAGCACAAGAAAAATTATACAACACTACAATAACACTCTTGGATTCAGTTTTCTCAGTAAAATGAATCTAATCCAGTAGGCACACTGAATTCATTATATCCAGACATGTGGGGGACTGTTCAAGAACAGTTTCGGGCCAACAGAAAAGCAGGAGGAAAATATGTGAACATACATAATAAAGATGCTACTTACGACGAAGACAAAAACAGATCAACCAAGTGGAAAAAGCGGGCTCGGTACTTCACGTGATATATAGAAGGGTCTAAAAGGCTGTACAGCTTTTTGTAAAAGTCAGGGTATTCCCTGTTAAAAAAAGGAAAAAGACAACATCCGTTAGTGATGTACAATGGGACTACAGTGTGCCTAAACGTTTCTGTGCTTGCATTATAGGCCACTGCTGGGCTCTGTTTAGCTTTCTTAGGCTTCTCTCCACAGCCACCACTTGAAAACAAACTGTAAGGTGAATTTATGGCTCTTGCGGTGCCCAGCCATTTTCAGGATGTGAAGCTATGCCCATTGACTGCAAATGGTACGGGATCCAGTGAGAGGCATACCAAAGACTACTGCTTCACTATGTAATCAGATCAATGGAAATTGATTTTCAAGTGCTGAGCAACCACAGTCTGGAGAAGATATTTAAGGCTCAGCTGAAAAAAAGGTCAGACGACCAAAAGAGCTCAGCATCCAAACAGCTGAGCCTCTTGTGCAGAGTTTGGCTTTCTCATGGGGGAATTTTAAAGCCTGAAGATGTATAGAATCCATTTCAGTTCCTTTCTATAAAGATATAAATGCAAAACCCCATGTTCTGTTAAACAAGATGCTCTTTCACTTACAGATTATGCTGATGAATCAGAATAAATAATCCATTTAAGGCTAGAAGACTGATTGCTCCACCTGTAAGAATGCAGGCAGGTATCAACACGATAAGAAAATGAATATCAGCTTCAACTTGTTTCTGTTACAAAACCTTCGCACAAGGAACACAAAACTAAGAGTACCTGAAACCAGAGCCAGCACGATGGCTGTAAGGTAACACAATTTCATCTAAAACCATCCAGAGGCTTGTAAGTTACTTACAAAGATTAAGCTGTAGTTTAGAAGAACAGGCTCTGAAGGACTGAGACACAAACATGCTGCTCTAATCCCCCAAGAAAGCCCCACTGGGGAGACAAAGGTCTCCTCAGAAAGAACATTTCTGTACAAATCTCCACATCCTGCGTCCGGATGCAGGCCAGGTATCGGCATCGCTGGCTGAGCTCTACATTTAAAGGCAATCACTCCAGTACTCTACTCTTCCCAAAGCCTTAAATACGATCTTCCTTACATACAAGGAGCAACAACACTGACAAACACAGGTAAAAACATCTCGCTTTCAGGGACAACGGAGTTCACACTAGTCCCTTAGCTTCATCCCAGCCAAAAGTACATCTATTTCATCACCCAGGCCATGGTGTCCCATCTAGCAGCCCTTCCAAGTCCATACGTACCATCCTGCAGAGCCTCACAAAGGACAAAAAGCCGGTTTTCACTCACCTATGCCATAGGCCACTGTCAAGAAGTCTATCATGAGAGTGGGCTCATTCATGTAAGGCAGGATGGAGTCATGCAGAATGACAAGAACTTTTTTGTAAAGGCCAGTGGGGAGCTGTGAAGGACAAAACAATACAGTGAAACAGTCATTGCAAGGAGAACTCGGAAAGCAACAGCAACCCATGGCTCAAAAAGGCCACACACAAGCAAAAGGGAACGTGCCAGAACAATACAGAATGGCTTGTGGCAACAGTTCCCAAACAGGAGAGTTTACAAGTGACACCTGACAATTACGTTCATTCAAAGAAGCAGGTGCTCACAGCTAAAAGTGTCATCACAGCTCAGATGGGAAAGTCACCAGCAAAAAGGCCTGGGAACCTTCAACTTGTGGACAGGGTTGTTATGCTGCAGATCATTCCTTACAGGCAGACTTGTTTAAGGCAGGGAAAAAAAAGAGTAAGGAGAAGCAGCAGACCGTACAGGAGCTCATGTTTCTTGGCAGGAGAACAATGCAGCAGAAATGGTGACTGGGCTGTTCTCATCTGACACTGAAAGCACAGTGGGGTCCTACCAGGAGCTGCATGCAAGGACAGCCACAGCCTCTAACGATTAGCAACCGCAAAGCAACGCAGATCAGCAGCAGAAGTAGCACTCACCTTGTGCTTCAAAAAACTGAGCCACATTTTTTCAAACGCCTGCTTGTGTGCCTTAAAACAGAATTGCAAGCAGTGAGTTAAACACACTGGTGCAGATAAAGCTCTATTTTAAGCAGATAAAATTTCAACTCTGCAGCACCAAACGAACAGTTACCTGCAGCTTCGACACTTTCAATTCCTCCCAGTTATCTAAGAAGAAAGGGAAATCAGATGTTGAACTTGAAACAGATGTTTAAAAAATTAAGATGGCCCTTTTTTACTTAGTCCCTTGATACCCTAAAAATTTGGGCTGAAGTCCTTGTCTTGACACAAGGCCATGACAGACCCCACTGCAGACTGAGGAATGTGGATTTTGTAATACTGTTTAGAATTACTGCGGTCACAGAAGCAGACATTTTTCATTAGCAAACAATAAAAGAGTCTTTACACAACAGAAATCTTAAACCTGATTTTCCTTTTCATACAGTTCATCATGCGGAGCTTACTAACCTTGCTTCACCATAAATTTGACCATGTCGCATTCTTTGTTTGGCATGTTAATGGGCGAAATGAGGGAAAATACGTTCTGCTGGTAAAATGGCAGCGGCCTCTGAGAAAAAAGCATATAATCAAACATGAAGCAAGTTCCAGAACAGATGGTAAGATGCTGGACTTCAATATTGCCCCATTTCCCCAAGCACTGAATATATTTAGGAAAGAAAAAGGAAAGGAAAAACGCTGATGTCTAAACTACATACTGGTATATTCTCTATGGCTGCCTCATCCTGGAGTACTACTCGTTTGCTTAACAAAAAACCTATCTCTGAACTAATTCTGGTTTAACAAAAGTGGTGGATCCAATTAAAGGAAACAGACTCTTCTTCTGCACCAGAGAGAGAAGAGAATTAAAAGTTCTGTGCGTGCCACCTGAGCTGCAGAGATTTGGGTAAACCAGAACCTAGAGCCCAGACCAGGTTTTGCAAGACCAACAGTATGTGTGTCTTGAACTACTTCCAATTTCAGACTGAAGACAGTCTTAACATAACCGGCATACAGTGTGATCAAGAAAAAAAAAGCCTTCAAGTGACCACACTCATTTCTCTTGCTCCCAAAGTCTTTCCACATACCACTAGTCCCTTGTCCCTCCCTGCTTCACGCACAGGATACACGTTTCAGAGCAGTTTATCCAGACCCACCTCAACAGTAACAATTTGTTACCTCTTTTGTCTTCTGCATGACTCGTCCAATACTCTCAGTGACCGCCTTTATGACAAAGTACCGAATGTCATCATACTCCATATATTCTTGAAAGCGAGAGATCAGGAGTGAAGCGTCCTCATTTAAGGGAAGCAAGCCATCAACAACTACCTAACAAAGGGTTTGTAAAGGAAAGCAACGAGTCATTCTCATACAGTACTGGAGCAGACAGCGAGCTGTGATGGCTGAGGGCACCCTCCTGTCCTTCTGAAAGGCAGCTAGCACGGCTGTGTGCCGCTTGCCCCGGAGCAACGTTCACAAGCCATTTTGACAAGCCCTCCTGACTTCCAGGATGGACCCCTTCTGTCAAGGACAATGTCATTTAGAAATGACACGGTGGCTGAACCAGGGGCAGTACCTTCCCTCTCATCTCCCAGTCCTTACAACTGAGGCCAGGGACTCCAAAAAACCTCCCCAGAACTGGTACCTCATAAACACTCAGGAATCCAGCTCGAACCTGCACCAGGGCAGCTGCTCCCACGCCTGCAGGTGTCACCTCACCAGGGACAGAAGCTCCAGGTCTCGGTGCTCCCTCTGGACCACCACCCTCCCTTCACACTGAAAACCTCCTAGCCTGAAATTTTAGTCCTGGAGAAGGTGAGCACATGAGGTCGTGTGCGCCATCGGGTAAGTGATAGGAAGAACTTTTCAGTTCTGCAGTTTACCTTAAGAAGTTCACGAGGAAAAGTTAAACTCCCCTTCCACTCCACTTTGATCAATGGATATTGCGCCTCCAACTCAACAAACTTCATGAGGGTGCAGAGTGATAATTCCTTTAAAAAACAAACAAAGAAACAAACAAAAACTAGGAAAAACCCCACCTCAACAAGGACACCAGGGGTCAGACCCAAAGGAGGCAACTTCTAAGGGTGGAAGAATGAACTAAGATGTTCTTCACGGAGAAAGCTGCGCCCCTGCTCCTGGCAGGCTGGTGAGCTGAGGTGAGCCAGAGCACCAGCACTGTCTCGCAGCACCGCCTGCCCTCCCACACTGAAATATTACAGTGATAATTGCTTCTGTGTCGCGAGGGACCCCACGTGAACTCGCGTCTCGGCAGCAGGCCCAGGACCTACCTTGACCTGGAAGGCGTCGTGTCCCATCAGCTCGGCCAAGCAACCCACGCAGTCGTTGTAGCGGTGCCTCATCCATATCTTGTATTTGTCCTCAGCGCTGTAGCTATCTGAAGGGTGAAACACGTCTCGAAAGCTCAGAGCGGCCCGGCCGAGCCCCAGGGAGGCGCGACCCAGGCTCGGGGCCCTGCCTCCCCCGGGG